ATGCACATTACCTGAAAATACAGTTGCTCCAGCGCTCTAGCATGTCACCAAGATTCACTATAAATGCTCTGAAAGTTAGATTTCAATCATCAAGACAGTAAGAAAATGCTAATAATATAGTAAAAGATTCATTCTACGTCAAATTGTAGCATCTAAATGTAATATATGGTCCCTTTCATTTAACCTCAGCGCATGATCACAAAAGCATGTAGAAAACTTACACTAGCTCCAATAAAGGTGTCTAATATTGTCCAGAATTATGTAAAGTTTTCTTCCTTTATTTTTTGATAATTGAAAACCAATCCTAGGCAGTGCCTTTGGAACCAATCAAGTCTCTGTAGATTCTATTTACTAACCCTTTTAATGGTGCTACAAATTCCCACTTCTGAGGTTTAGCATCCTTATCCTTGCAAATCTGCAATAAATTGAAAAGATCACAATCCCTTTTTTACAAAATATATTAGAAATACAATTCAAATTCTTAACTATATCAGTACCTGGAGACCAAAGACGTCATCAGTTGCCAAGAGTGTTATCAAACCAAAATCAGAATGTGCGCCTGCTCTGTATATTCCCTTCATGGGATCAAAAGCTCTACCTGAAGAATAACCAAACACTTATGTCATGATACAGGTGACATCAATTACATTAGAATTCCATGATCTTCAATTTAATTTTCACCTTCATAGTGTAGCAGACGCAAGTTTGCAATAGGCTTCCCAAGCATTTCTTGTCTATCAAAAAAGTCAACCTCGAGGTTAAGTGCAAGAGCTATGATCCTTGAAATTGCTTTTGCCACCTCACTAGTATGCATATAAACAATCATATGAACAATGTCATATATATAAAACTGAAAGCATGAAATCATGGCCGAACAAGTCACAAGGCTTAAATGGAATGATAGGTAATTGCTATTTTTTAACAAATAAATTTCTAGTGGGAAAGGAGAACAACTCCCAATAGAACAACCATATGGATTGGTTTTATACATGTCCCAATTTAACAATGGTGTTTAGAAATATACCTCCGTGGCTAAAACAATTCACTCAACCTAATTCTTTGTTATTATTCCTCAAGTTATGCAGCATATTTTATGCTAATTTGCATCACCGAAAATGTAACAAAATATAAAAGATCTTAGAGTGATTGGGAAAACATGTAAGAATTGAAGTTAAAAATTCTGGACAATATAGATTAAAAAGCAATACATGCCAGGTTTTCGTAATGAAAATATATATAAATATGAATCTTCATGGTCTTAGAATATTATTATCATCCATCACCATAAAATTTTCATGGCATGGGATGAGCTTGTATAATTACAACAGACAAACTCGTCAACCAAGCTTCATAGGACCCACCAGACTATGCCGTCAAGACCAGATGGGATAAAGGTATGAGTTCTCTCCTGTAGTTCTTCAGTTTATGCTCTTAGCTCATATCCCTAAGCCTTTCTTTAGTATATACAGAACTTCCAATATTTTATATGAAGTTATCCTTCCCATAATGTGATATTTTCTAAGATTTATTAGTCTAATGCAATACTTTTAAATTGACAATAGGGTATTGATATTAGATAACAATGAGAAATTAATATGATGCAGCATTTCTGTTTAGACACCAAAACAAGACAAGATAATTCAATTTGCTACATGAAGAGATATAATGTTTGATACAAAGCAGCAAATACATCCGTCAGTAGTATATGAAGTTCGTTACAAAAAGATTAATCTTGAACAAAACTTACAGTGCCTCTCTATGATATTTCTCCATAGTTTCCCTCCATCTAGGCAAGATATCTTTCAAACGGCAAAAAGACCAAAGGGGTTAATACTAATTACAAACCAATACCATGTAGAATGCTCAAATGCTTAAATCACATCAAGTTGAATTAAGCTCTAATGTGTGTGTGTGTGTGTGTGTGTGTGTGTGTGAGAGAGAGAGAGAGAGAGATGATTGGGACATGGCATGAATTACACATACTTCGCACTTTCTTAAGACTTGAATGGATTTGGTAACTTCCCAGAAGGGGGCCAGACATTTGGTCCATATAATAGCTTTTCTATGTCAGGATCGTTTTCAGGTACTTCTATTCCAATGTAATGTCCCTCCTTATAATCTCCTATATCCGTAAAATAGGATAATCAATATTTTTATTTTTTATGAAACATGTATCTCTCTGTTATAATTAGTTTAAATTTAAACAAAAATAAATCAAGAAAAATGGATCAATTGGAAGAAGAAAAGAATGGGACAATATAAAGAACAAAACAATGTGGGTGGCATCTAAAAGTAGGAAGGCAACAACATAATTATGTAAACAAGCACATATATGAATGCATATAGGCTCAAGTTTGTTCGACGCCTAAGGCATAAAAAACATAAATGAAGCCTTTTTAAGATTTACATTTGAAATATATTTTTCTTTTCTATTCAAATGCAAAATTACACATTCAAGTTTTCTAACATATCATTTGTAATTGATATTGCGGGTAGTTCACTTATTGTTTCTTATGACTTAATCAATCTTAGGTTAAACTTTATCCATTTTAATTTTAATTTTTTTTGTCAATGCAATTGTTATAGATAAAAAAACGACGTCCAATTAGTACACATTAATGTACATTTAGGAGGGGAAATTTTATAATCGTGGATGCATTGGAAATTTTAGTTTTCTTTAATTATGTAATATATCAATTGAAGTGCTCCCTTCAGCTTGCGAAACTTAATTTAAAACTTTCAATTCCCAAAACAAATTTGAACATTGATATCATCTTATACAAAAATTCCAAATGCAAATTTCAGACAACTATCCCCACTTTTTTAACAGTTAGTTTGATTGAAAATTTATATTTACCATATTAAACTATATAAAAGTGAGGCCTCTTACTGTGTGGGGATGTTAGGCGAAAGTCTAATTTTCCTAGCACTCAAGCCACTTCTAGACACACATGATCATACAAGCACAGTATATACATATATATACATATACATGCCATGCACATACCAAGCTATACAATAGATGTCAACTTGTATTAGAAGAAGCATTATATTGATATGATATTCACTTTTGTGCTTATTTCTAAAAAGTTGTGTAACCTTAGAAAAATGATAGTAGAACAAACCATGTATTTGATTGACAGGATCCAAATGTTCATCGAAAAGGGGAGTGTAACTTCGATGTTTCTTGTTCCTAAGAACCTTCATTTTCTCACTTACTGGTAGATCAAAAAAAACTTTTTCTTTGGTAAAAAACCTCATCCATAAATTCCTGGCTGATTCCATGATTGATCACATAGAAAAACCCAGAATCCAAACATGCCTGTAGAAAAGAGAGGAAGCAAAGGATAAGGTAGGTTATAAAAACCAATTAACAAAAACGGTACACACCAATTAATAATTTTTCGATCCATATATAATCAATCAATCAAAAAAACTAGATATATGAGAGAGAGAGAGGGAGAGAGAGGGAGAGAGTACTTGTTTGAGTAAAGAAACAGAGTTAAGAATGTCAGGGCTTGAAAGATCGATACAATTGAGTACAGAGAAGTTTTTTAAATCTCGAGGAGCTTCAAGAGCATCATTCGTCAAATTCTCCATTTCTAAAATGATGAGGTTCCGATATTCCTTTACCGATATTATCAATCAATTAATTAAGGGTCAATTACACATACACCCCCTCTCTTTTCTTGAAATATCACTGCCACCCCCTTTAATTTTTGAAATACCAATACACTCACACATTTGAAAATAATGTAACAATTCAGTCTTCTGTGAGTCTGTTAATTCAATGGAAAAAGGAACTTCTATTTACACATTCACTTCACTTAATTATCTGAAGAAACACCGTTATTTAATTGACACCTTAACAATTTTAAAGTTTAATCAATACACACCACAATATATCATTTTTACTCTTGAGATGCACACACACTCCTAATTAATTTAGTACACGAGTAATGTTAGAGACTAGAAATTTTTTTATCAAATTTTTTACAAGCAGCAATGATACACAACTTTAATTTTGAAGTTCTAATTAAAGCTCTAATGATGTGGCTAGAAAAAAAAAATAATAAAACACATACACAAACAGATAGGACCCACTTGTTTAGAACTCTCCTAGAGCACAACAGTTAGAACTCTAAATCATTTTTCTTTTACCAAATATCTCATATGGATGTGGAATCACATGATGTGAGTTTCATACCTATGTGAGACATTTGATAAACAATTTGAAATTTTTTTTAAGGTCTTTGACATTTTTCTTTAGTACACACCACAACATATAAGTTCAAACACACCACACACGGCTGTTCTTCCATCTGGTTCATTATCATCCACATTGAAATTTCTTGTAGTTTAAGGTTTTTTTTTTCTTTTGGGAAACTGTAGACGCGCCCGCGGAGGGCCTCATGCTACAGTTATCAGTAACGCCCAAGTCTTAAGGGCGGTCAAAAATGGGGTGTCTACAGAAATCCCATTGAAATTTCTTAGGGTTTAGGATTCTTATTTATTATTAGAAATCTCCATTGAAATTTCTTAGGGCATCTCCAACGGTTCACCAAATATTTCATCAAATTTGAATAAAAAAAAAAAAACATGAATTCCTCTATTTGATATCAATCACGTAAACAGTGAATTTATAGTTGTCATCAAAACACAAGTTGTCCGGCTGGTCGACCGGCAAGAGAAAATGAAAATTAAAGCATTGTATGAAGATCTCTAGTTCTTTCTATCAAATTTAGCCAATTTGATCCACAAGACCAAACACAATAACAGGGAAATACATGACAAAAACATATAAAAAAGATCCAAAAACAAAAACCCAGAAACCTCTTGTGCAAAATCTCCACAATTCTCCAATAATCATCAAGAAGAACAAGAACAAAACAAAGTTCTAAAATTGCTTTGTGAAGTCGTATTATCTTGTAGGAAGTGGCATCTCTGAATTCATCATCATCTGATAGCAAAGCTACAATGGATTTATGAAGGTTTCACTTATCATTTGACCAATATATATATATATATAAATAAATACTCATAAAATGACATTTATAAAGGATAATATAGCACAAATTGTGAAGAATGGGCTTGTGAAAGAAGCTCATGCAGTTCTTGAGAAAAATCCATTTGGTGATGTTATGTCCATGACAAATATGATTATTGGGTATTTTCATATTGATGAGGTTCAAACTGCAATTAAACTTTTTCAGTTGATGCCTATTTGGGATACAAAATTGTGGAATGCTACAATATTGGATTAGGTGAAAAAGATCATGGCGAGAATGGCTTCAAATTGTTCATGAGACTAAAAGAACTAAGTTTTCCTATGGATGAAGCTATATTTACTAGCGTGCTGACAATATGTTCAAGCTTGCCGACCGTGAATCTTGGCAAACAGACTCATGCACAAATCATTAAGATGGGTTTTAATTCTTTTAGTGCAGTTTGTAATCCAATGGTTACTATGTATGCTAGATGTGGAAACATGAATTCTACCTTGATGGAATTCTTTTCTATGCCTAGTCATGATGTCAGGATGAGGAATTCTATAATATGTGGTAGGTGAGATTGCAAGGAAAAAGGTAATGGAGTTAGAGCTTTTTAATTCCGGTGTCTATATGGGTTCAAATAAAATTTTCATTCTCATGGGGTCATCGGGGGAGGGGGGTCAACCATCCTGTGTAAAATTTGCCTTGACTTGGTCATCCAGGGGACATCCGGTGGTGAAAATACAACGGCCATGAATAACGATTTGATGAAATGTGCAAAGCATCCTCAGTTTGGTGAAATATTTGTTATTTTCTCAATTTGATACAGGTTTGGTGAAGCCATTGGAGCACAAAAAAAAAAAAAAAAAAAAGGTACTTTTTCACCAAATTTGAATTTGATGATGGATTTGGTGCAACGTTAGAGATGGACTTAGAGTTTAGGGTTTTGGATTTTGAGTTTTAAAATGAGTTTTCAAAAATCTTAAACCAAACAAGTTTTGGATTTTGAGTTTTGAAAAATGAATTTGAAAATTGAACCAAATGCATCCTCACCTTTTCGTTGGTGTGTTCATGAATGTCAGATGGATTCATGCTTTACTTGGTTGCAACTTTACTTTTTTGAGTGTCAAATTTTCAAGCCAAAAACTTCAAGGAGCTATCATGTTAAAAGAACTATTATTCTAAGAAAGTAGGGGAGAAAATAGGGTATAGCGTTTTCAACACTTTGGTGTGCAATGAGAATTTTTGCTTTTTCAGGTGTGTATTTGCTTTGATGACCATGATTTTCTTTAATAGTAATTTTACTTAAGGTTATCATTGTAATAAATATTAGGAAAATTTAGCTAAAACTCCTTTATTAGACTCTTGTTTGGTAAAAATGATATCCCAATTTTATTTTTGCTTCATAAACCCTCTAAGGAGGAGGCGCATAATCTGAGCAATGTCAAACAGAGTAGCAATGTCAAACAGAGTAACATGTTATTATTTACATTAATTTCGATGGTAATTTTATTTATTTATTTAAATTTCATAGTCAACATAGATCTTATTTAATAGATCTTGATGAGAGAATTCTAAAAATACTAATTTTATTAAAAATTGACATCTAAATCAAAAGATAAATTATTTTAAAGTTTAAAATTTTGGTAATACTGGTATGTGTTGGACTTTTTAACAATTTTATTTTATCCTTATCCTTAATGCATTAAAGTTTTATTATGAAAGGGTTTTGACCAAATTTCCATAAATATTAAAAGAATTTAATGATGTGTCTTGAAGTAAATATTGGTGTGTAAGAGCATCTCCAATGTTTACACTTTTTTTTTTTTATGTCAAATTTGAATGAAAATTTAAGTAATAACTTCATCTGACTACTGGTCGACCGGAAGGACAAATGAGGATGTCTGGCCGGTCGACTAGCTAGTATAAATTTTCCAAAATTCTGAAACAAAGTTTGTAAGGAGGTGGTCAACAGGTGAACAACTGGCCGATCGTCCGATTCTCCTGCACTGTCCAACAGCCACCTATAAAGGTAACGGCTATCTACAGTAATTTGGTGTAAAGTTCCAGCATCCTCAATTTTTCCATAAATATTAAAAGAATTTAATGATGTGCCTTGAAGTAAATATTGGTGTGTAAGAGCATCTCCAATGTTTACACTTTTTTTTTTTTTTATGTCAAATTTGAATGAAAATTTAAGTAATAACTTCATCTGACTACTGGTCGACTGGAAGGACAAATGAGGATGTCTGGCCGGTCGACTAGCTAGTATAAATTTTCCAAAATTCTGAAACAAAGTTTGTAAGGAGGTGGTCAACAGGCGAACAACTGGTCGATTTTCCAATTCTCCTCCACTGTCCAACAGCCTATAAAGGTAATGGCTATCTACAGTAATTTGGTGAAAAGTTCCAGCATTCTCAATTTGAAGAAAAAATAAAATATCTCAATTTGATATTGATTTGATATTAACATTGGAGTACCAATTTTGTACGTTTTTCATCAAATTTAAATTTGATAAAACAAAAAATGAATCATTGAAGACGCTCTAAGTAGAAGCTCCAATGAAAAATCATGAAAACTAATTTAAAATGACAATTTTACCCTTAAAGTACGTATAAAGGTTTAAATTAACATTTTTACCCTTCATTTCAATGACCAAAATGTCCTCAAGAGTATTGTATTTCTTTATTACATTGTGGGAGCTTCTATATATCTCTCTTTGGACACACAAGCTAAGAAGAAAATATGAATATGACAGTTAAAAATTAAAAAGAAAAAAACTAATAATTTTTTCAACTAGACAAATTCTTAAGAAAAAAATTTATACCATGTTTGGATTGCAGCTTTAGTTTGAATATTTTCGAAGTCTGATCATGTTAATGCAGTTCTATTATTGGTTTGAATGCTTTACCATCACTTTATAGTTTGAAGATTTTGCAAACCACAATGCCTTTGAGCTGCTAGAGAAATATGGTTCTACTCATCTTGTCTTCAATGATGATATCCAGGTATATGGCAACATGGTGGTGGATCAGTTTTAATTTTTAAATTCTTATTAGGCTTGTTTGGTAGAACTTAAAAGCTGCTTATTTACCAAACACTACTCTACTGCTTAAATCTATAATCCCAGAGTTACACCAAACAGGTTACCAGCTTATGCTCACAGCTGTAAGCTATTGTAACACCCCAAAAATTGGGCAGGGTATATCTATTTATGCTACAAAACCCACCTGATAGACAAACACATATATATAGCTAACTATTCCGTACATCCATTTCCATTAAATCCCAAATGCTAAATACATGTTGTTCACATCTCAATGCCTCAGTTCCAACCCCAAGCATACATTTTACAACAAGTATGAAATGGAAGCAAAACAGATAACAAGTGCCCTACATGCTTACAAATTTGTCCAACATTCTTGGTTACACAAAATGGAGTTTGAACTCAGCGCAAATACAGCCCTGAGCTTACGTTCAACAAATAACAATAAAAGAAAAATGAAGCCTCAGCTCCGAGTCCTCCCAAGTCATTGCCTTGGTGGAAACATAGCACCTGTACCTGAAATGGTTTCCCTTATAGGGTGAACCACAGCCCAGTAGAGATATACTACACAACATATGAACCATGACAAGACTAAAGAGGAGTATGCTCATGCCATGCTCATGATAAAACAATTTATCTCTTTTTATTTATTTATTTATTATAAAGCATGCAATACTAAGATGCAACAACAGATATAAAATCATTTCCATTTTAAACCATATATGTTACATGAATACAGGCTCTGTAAATCTCTAGGTGAGTGTCTACAAGTAGGCCCTAATGCACTACCACTATCATTTTTACCAGTAAGCTGGAAGGCTGGACACCTAACCGCGCGGTTCTACACCCCTTACCCAGATTCACCAAGTATTTATCTTTTCGCAAACAGATACATTTCCAAACATTTCTCAAAACAGATACATTTCCAATGAAATGAATGTAATACAATGTCCAATGCAACAAATGAGGAATGTGTTTCAATTTTCCTAAGTCTCATGCATTTCTACAACAATCATGGCTATCCTCCACCGATAACCCAAAATAGATATTTCTAAATAGATATTTAAACAATTAAATTCCAAAAATTTTGATAAATACAATCTATTCCACATCTCATCAAATATGAACAAGTACACTAGTTTTCATATCAAAATCACGTCCAGTAATCTCTCAAGGTCCATTTCTAACCGTGTCGGTTTTATTCCAACAGATACATTAAGCAAAATAATACCGTTAATGCCCAAGAAAACATCATTTTCTTTCCAAACTCATTCTCCAAGCATTATTCAATCATGACATCCTATTTTGATCGGAAGCTCCAAAAGTTAAGTGTAATTCCTTTGTTTTCTTTAAAAATGCTCTTTTGATCACAAACCAGTAAAAAATTCAAAACCAATCGAATCGAAGTCCCTTTTGGTTCAAATTTAAAACATAACTCTTTCATAACCTTACAAACATATTCCAAGTTTACACTTTCGCAATTTGGGCATCAACTTTTTACTTTTTCTCAAAATTTCTCTTTTAAGCAAATAAATCACAAATATTTCAAAAATTCTAATTGTAACAACCCTCACTTCAACTTAGTCATACTTGCATACATTTATGTATGATCTTGTTTTGTTATGTGCATTTGCAAATCTTGTCTTGTTTTACTTGAGTGTTTCTTGCATACTTTGTTCTTGCCTGGTGTGTTGCCGAGGTCATCTTAAGCCTAGACACCTTGGAACCTTTCTACACTTAGAACTATCTTGTAACCACTTCGGTTGACCTCCATCTTCACCCTGGCATATTGGCCGAGATGTCATTATCTAGGCCGAGGTGTTCATCACCAAGGCCGAGATGTGTACTATCTAGGCCGAGACGTTACCTTTGCACCTAAGTGACCTTGTCCTGGAGTGGTATGACCTAGACCGAGGTGTGGCACATCTAGGCCAAGGTGTGGCACAGCTTAGTCAAGTGTTGTCCTTCCTAGCCGAGGTCATTGTCACCTTAGTTGCCGAAGCTTTGTCTTTAGCCGATGTCATCACTTGCCGGAGTGCCTTACCGAGTAGCTTGTTAGATACCATTTTGTCATGTCTTGTCTTGTCAGTCGTCAACTTTATTGAGTTAGAGCCAAGTCAAGCCGATGCCCACGTGTCCCAGCAGAGGGTTAAGTCAGTGGCTGTCGAGAAAACATATCATTTGTTATCAAATCTTGTCTTTTAGAGAGAGAGGCTCTAGGAAGGAAAGAGAAGTTTTGAGTAAGAGAGAGTGAACTTCCAAGCTTAATCGTTGGAGTTTGAACCGTTAGATTCAAGTTTTGAGGTTAGAATCTTAATCTACTCTTGTTGTTCTTATTGATCATCTAGCTGCATTGCACGATCAAACCTGTTCTGCACGTCGTGCATTGATTTAAAGTTGGTTTTAGAAAGACAAAATGGTTTTCATGTGTTCTCGAAGAAAAGTCTTTTTTTGATCCGAAAGTTTGCATCTAGAACCATGTTTTTGTGTTTGTTTTCGTAAGATCTTCGAGTATGGGTACCCAGGTCCATCATTTTGGATTCTTAGCATGAAATCTCAGATTTTATAATAGCAAGTTTTAATCTTTGCATTCATCTTCCTCATGTTCATGTTCTTCATGTTCGTCATGTTCTTCAATAGAGGGAAATCCAGATTTTCCCGACTCCATTTCCTTGACTGTGGCCATCGAGGCCACACCTCGGCAAGGAGGTGTGGGACCTCTGTGGGACCTCGGCAAAGACCTGGTTGGTACCCAGCATGTCTTCCTGACATGTAAAACAGTGTTTTGACTTCCAGCATGTTTTCCGAGGTCATTTGCATGCATGGAAGACTTGTTTTGAGAAGTGCATTCAATAGATTTTGCCATGTGTTTGTAGGACCTGGACTTGCCTTGACCCGACGTTCGAAGAACTATGTGAGTGGTATTTTTAATAAAGTTATGTTATCAATGTTTTGATGAGCTTTGCTTTGCCTTGGTTTGAAAAGTATTTGTTAAGCATGAATGATCGTCCCTATTTTGGTATATCAAGCATTATCTTGTTTTGTTGACCTCCTCGGAAAGTTCTTAGTGTCAAGGGACTATAATGCAACTGCACATCTTGCTTTGAAAGTCCTTAGCGTCAGTGGACTATAATGCAACTGCACATCTTGTTTTGAAAGTCCTTATTGTCAGGGGACTATAATGCAAGTGCACATCTTGTTTTGAAAGTCCTTAGTGTCAGGGGACTACAATGCAACTGCACATCTTGTTTTGAAAGTCCTTACTGTCAGGAGACTATAATGCAACTGCACATCTTGTTTTGAAAGTCCCTTGTGCTGGAGGACTCTAAACTTTCGCAGTACTCTCGTGTTAGGGGGCTACGGGCCTTCGTAACATAGGTCCTTTGTGCTAGAGGACTCTAAACTTTTGTAGCACCCTTGTTTGAGATATCTCCCTTGCTTTGTCTTGTTTTGCCACTGACGGTTTACTAAAATTTTGTAGCACCCTTGTTGAGATATCTCCCTTGCTTTGTTTTGTTTTGCCACTGACGGTTTACCGCATGGGTTTGTTTGTCTGGAATGTCATAATTTGTAATATGCCGATGCTAGTAAGCATCCCTCGAATCCTTGAAGATTTGTCAGATGGACAAGGTCCATTCCTTGTTATATAAGTTTTGACATGTATTGTTTTGAAAGGACTTCGGCTATTATTCATGCAAACCCTTTATTATTTATATCATTCACTGAGTATCCAAGCTCACCCTCTCTATATATATATGTAGGTGATGAGCAAGAAGGCGATGACGCCTAGATGTGATTCGCGAGCTTGTTTTGGATTTTTGTTATGTCGGCTTGACTTGTAATTATGTCGGCAATCTTGAAAATCATGCTTCTCGACTTATAATTATTGTATTTTGCACACGTTGGCTTGAGAAGCCTTTTGATCAAGATGTGTATTTTGTATGTATGTTATGTCGGTAGTGGGGATGTCGGCAATCTGGAAAACTATGTTCCTTGACCTGTAGTTCAGGCATTTCGTTTATGTCGTCTTGTGAAGCCCTTTTGTTAAAATGTAGTAAGTATTTTTGTACCTTACTTTAATTGTATTCAAGTTGTAAAGTTATGTAAAGATGTATGCCATCCCATTTGACTTATGCACTGCTCTTATGGACCATTTGTATTGTAAATCATTGCTTCCGTACTTGTTAGCCCCATATGTAATACTCTGATTGTGTGTGAATCTTGAAAGATGGCCTTCGGTAGTCGCGGATTTCTGGCCATCACGGCACCATCCTACTAGGGGCAGGTTAGGGTCGTGACAGAATGGTATCAGAGCACAAGTTCCTTAGTATACGCTATTCACACACTTCGAGTCCTAAAGAGCATAGGATTTCCCTTTAGAAGGATGTTAAGATTACATCATATTGCTTGCTATGTGAACAAGGTGTGCATTGCTTCGGCATGCTTAATTGTTACTTGCCTATGTGTTTAATTGTTCATCTTGTTTTAAAGTCATATTTTGCATACTCATTGCATCATGAGGACAGGTAGACCTCCAGTTGGCCGAGATCAGTCCGAGGACAGATTAGACAGACTGGAAAGGTTAGTTGAAGGTTTGGCCCGCAAGCTAAGGCAGACAAGACAACAGTACGCTAGTGCTACATCGACTCAGGCCGAGCAGACAAACGGCCGAAATGCAGTTCCTCCTCCACCTCCTCCAGTACCACAAGTGCCCCCACAACTAGCTTTATATGGGGACGACACGATAGCTTTGATTAGAGAGTTCAAGAAAATGAAGCCACCAAGATTCCAAGGGGGTATAGAGCCGATGAAAACCGAAGCGTGGGTTTTGGAAATGGAGAAGTTGTTCGAGATCTGTCCCAGCACCGACACCCAGAAGGTGACCTTAGCAGCCTTTACACTGGATGATGACGCTCGCAGATGGTGGATGATGGTTCGAGAAGGCAATCCAGACTTGACCTA